TATTTGTCATGGTCAGATGTACCAAAAACGTATGATACGGGCACATGGTAAGAAAGTTCGCCTTCGAGAATTCCATGAGGGAGATTTGGTGCTTAAAAGGATTTTGCCTATTCAGAAGGATTTCAGAGGAAAATGGATGCCCAATTGGGAAGGACCTTATGTTGTCAAGAAGGCCTTTTCTGGGGGAGCTCTAGTCCTAACTGAAATGGACGGATCAGAATTACTATATCCAGTGAATTCCGACGCTGTTAAGAGATATTTTGCTTGAAGAAGAAATAAAAGAGAAAAAATAAAAAAATGAGAAAAAAGAAAAATGATGGAAAAAACAAAAAGAAAGAAAAGAAAAAAAATGGAAAAGGGAAGAAAACGTATAAAAAACAAAAAGAAAAAAAAAAGAAAAAAAAAGAAATAAAAGGAGGGTTCAAGATGAAAACCCGAAAAGGGGGTCTTGGAACCAAATGAGGTCTCAAGTTGAAAACCCGCAAAGGGCGACTTGAGTTGAGTTTGAAATTCAGAATTCGTGCATGGTGGAAGTTCTGAATCAATTTTGGAAGTGGAAAGAGCTCCTGATATGGATAGTAACAATGACAGTTGGTGATCAGGAATGAGACTAAAGATTAATGAGTCTCGATTGAAATAACCAAGAGAAATTGAATGCATATGAGATTCAATACTGGTTTAGGGCATCCAATGATAGAGATTTGGGAGTTTAGAAGTAGCTTCATACTCGTAAGCATCACAATTTTGGAGATCTTTTTGACAGAAGCTACACTCGAGACATTCTAACGGCGTGCCAGTTCAAAAGCATTTGCATTATTGATATTTGAAGACGCCTACTCTTTTGTTCTTTTACTGTTTCCAGTTAAAAGTTTGCCATAAAATTACCTAAAAATTCTCTGCATTTTATAAATAAAGAGATGTAGTTTCTTGTTAATTTCCCTCTTACAAACATCTTATTTTGAAAGGTCAAAACATATGGCTTAACTTGAAGTACATGAGATCATTTTGTATTATTGTGCAAAAGGTTTTGGAAAATGCAGGTATTCTGAAGTTGACAATGGTTTAAGCATGTAAGCTTGTGTGGCCATAGGAAACTAAAATCCTCAAATTCAAAGAAAATCTCAGCCATTAAAAGATGACCCAATGAGGTTACCATTAATCAAGAAGTTGGTCATGGATACTGGCGGGTTTCAAGAAAGAAAGGAGTCAAGGTCATGTTAAGCCGAGAGATATGGAATTGAGATTATCAACTGGGGTGAACTGGTCAAACGTTCTGTGCCCAAGATGAAGCCGAGTTCCATCGAGATCAAAAGGAGATAGAGTTCCTTCAAAGAAGAAAACGCATTGAATTGCATAATTGCATACATTTTAGGCATGAGTAGGATCATGGCATTCATAATCGCATGATGGCTTAAATATCTACAGGTTTCCCAGGAATAGTTGAAGATTGAAGATATGAAAGCATCGAGATGAAGATAACTGGTCTTGAGATTTTGACAAGAATGATGTTTATACGAAAATTGAGTCAAAGCAGATTCAAATATCCAATGGCTCCAGACAAGTTTTCACGATGGAGATGGATTTTCAAAAAATTTCTCAACTTCTAAATTTTTTAGTATAATATTTTTCAAATATACATTCATGATGAATAATGTTTGATTTTCATGTTGACCTTTGAAGCAAATCATCTATAAGCCTTCACGAAAGAGTTGTGAAGCAAATTAGTTCGTTGAAGATTGAGTCCTATACTCTCTGAAGGAATAGGGAGTGGACAAGTTTTGTTGAAGATTGAGTCCTATACTCTCTGAAGGAATAGGGAGCGGACAAGTTCGTTGAAGATTGTTCGAGTTCTATACTCTCTGAAGGAATAGAGAGCGGACCCGTTTTGTTGAAGATTGTTCGAGTTCTATACTCCCTGAACGAATAGGGAGCGGACCCGTTTTATAAAGATTGTTCGAGTTCTATACTCTGAAGGAATAGAGAGCGGACCCATTTGTTGAGATTGTTCGAGTTCTATACTCCCTGAACGAATAGGGAGCGGACCCGTTTATTGAAGATTGTTCGAGTTCTATACTCTCTGAAGGAATAGAGAGCGGACCCGTTTTATGAAGATTGCTCGAGTTCTATACTCTCTGAAGGAATAGGGAGCGAACACGTTTGTTAAAGATTGAGTCCTATACTCTCTGAAAGAATAGGGAGCGGACCTGTTTATTGAAGATTTTCCGAGTTCTATACTCTCTGAAGGAATAGAGAGCGGACCCGTTTTATTGAAGATTGTTCAAGTCTTATACTCTCTGAATGAATAGAGAGCAGACACATTTTATGATGATGGTTCGAGTCTTAAACTTCCTGAAGGAATAGGGAGCAGACTCGTCATTTGAAGATTTTTCAAGTTTCATTTATCCCGAAGTAACAGTAAAGTGCTTTAATCTTTTGAAGTTCTCATGGCCGGACAAATTTGACCATCTTTTAATCTTTGCTCTATTCTCGTTACACGACAATAAGCAAAGAGGGGCAGCTGTAGATGTTTGATTTGTCCGGGGCCCATATCACTTGCAAATGAAAACAGTTTTGGGGGTTAAAAACCAGAAAAGAAAATGGGGAGGCCATTTCTTTATTTTTTTCATCGTGGGTAATCAAAACTGAAATGTGCAGTTTTTACGTGGGGGAAATAAACTGTAAATGGAGGAGGTATGGGCAGTTTTTTGGATTGACAATTAAGAACAGGGGGGAACACAATCAAAAAGAAAAAAAACAGTGAAAAGAAAACCAACGAAAAACACAAAGAAAGGGGGAAAACTACCAGAAACGAGGGGGAAGCAGAAAATTGGATTAACTATCATCGATTTTGCAGTATTGAGAGAATACGAAAGGAAATCACAGTGTAATCATACAATTCAAAAATAGATAAAGCAATAAAGGTACATTTCTCCTAGGGGTTCTTCTCCAATTTTCTTAATTTTTTTCAGTTCGTTCTTTTGTTGTATGCATGTGTGATTGTTCTTAAAATTAAAATGTTGAAAGGAATTGGGACTTACTTATACTGCTCGAGCATAAAAAAGAAGGAATCTCGTCGGCTTCATTTGTTCACTGTGTGGGTTCGGTAGTAAATAAAAAGTGTGAGATTTAGTTTAATAATACCAAAATAAAAAATAAAGAAAGGAAGCAAGGCAGTACCTTAGGATCGAGCAGTAAAGATCAGAGTGTAAGGGTCTCGGGGTTGGGAGTTTAAGTTTGTTTGAGGTTCGTCTATGTCAAGATTAGTGACTAGGGTAGATTTAATCTTCATCGGAGCATGCGACGGCTTTGTGTGGTTGTGGGTTCGTAGGATAGGGTGAAAGGCTCGGCGGCGTTCATGGATCAAAGGTAAGTCTAAAGATTTTGGTTCTCGGCTAGAGTTGTGTGCGGCTAAACCCTCGTCGGGTTTAGATGTCACCGGAATCGAGCGAGCAGAGAGGGTCGTGAGTGAGGAAGAAGGAGAGTTAGACAGTTGAGAGTGATAGAGAACGGCGATGAATTTGTTGGGTTAGATATTAGGGTTGTGTCTAAAGGTTAAACGCCGTCGTTTCAGCTGATACTTTCCTAGTTTCTATTTCTGGCCCAGTATTATACGCGCATTCCATTTCGGTCCCCAAAATCAGGCATTTCGAGCTTTATTGTTATTTTAATATTGTCTCTTAATTTTAAACGTTTTATATTTTAGTCCAATTCCATATTAGGGCCATTTTTGCACTATTCTTACATTGGTTATGTAATTACGGAACTTTTATTTGGTCCTTGAACGAATCTTTTGCACCTTATTAATTTTCTTCATATTTATGAGTGCTTTTCATTTTAGTCTTGAAATGTTTTTATGTTTTATTTTTGAAATGTAATTTGTAATTTTGGTTGTTTGACCATTTAGTCACTTAGCATGTTTTTTTTTCTAATTTAATAGTTAATTCCTATTTTGCATGTTTAGTTTAATTTTATTTTATTATGGTCCTTCATGGTAAGTTTGAATGTGAAGTCGAGTTATTAATAGTATGTTTTATTGTATATATTGTTTTATTCTAATGTATGTTAGTGTCGTAAATACATATGAATTTTATTGTTTTTTTTATCTATAAGAGTTAGAAGTTTGTTTGAGTGCATGGCATATTTTAGTTAATTTTGTCTTTACATGACATCATTTTGGTATAATTTGCATGATAGCCTTATTTGCATAACTCGACCTATTACATAATCGGACTAAGGGTAATACCCTTTTAATTTAAAATTGTTGAAGTGGGCAGTCATAACTGATTTGAGGTCCGCTTTTAATGATTTTAAAAATAAAAGTGTATCCCGAAAGTGAAACCTAAAAATTGATCCATCACTCTAAAATTTGGGAACGAGAGAAAAAGAAATGTTGGTTTATTTAAATATATCGAGAAAAGGTTGTTATATCTTTAAGATCTGGTCTCGATATTTGTAAATAATCGAACATTCTTTATCTTTCTAAAATGACTTGGTAATTTTAATTTAATTTGTTTGAGTGCTTTTGAATGTTTTTAAATTTATATCTTTGTTTTATGAGATCAAAAATCAAAATAAATTCGAATTTGTAAAGTTCATTGCAAAGACATTAATTAATCGACTAGGTACCGATTTAGGGCGTTGTGGGGTGCTAATCCTTCCCCACACGTAACCGACTCCCGAACTCGGATTTTGGTGACGCAGACCTCAATTTGTTGTTTTAATTAAAATTAACTTTTTATTTAAAATGACATCATTTTTGGGTGCCCAATCACACCCTAATCAAAGATTGGTGGCGACTCTTTGAATTGTATTTTTTTGATCGTAAAGGAAATCTAAAAATTTTTCGAAACGAGAGGTCTTTTAAATCACATTTGTTTTTAAATTAAAAATCAATTGAAAGAGATAATTAAGAATTAATGTGGTTTTTAAAATCTCACCGTTTTTCACCTTCAAGAAAAAATCGTTTCGACAGCTTCTAACAACTTTTCAGGCGACTTGTGCATTGAATTTTTTCAAAGTTTGAAGGCAATGATGCAGATGACTAATGGTGACAAAGCACAAAGGGAGTACATTGGAGGGCAGTACTATCAAGACTCTGTGACAATTGTCAACAAAGGGGTTGAAATGTTTTATCAGAAAGTCTTGACCATTCTCACTTGTCTTGACCTCTCCAACAACAGTTTCCATGGGAGAATACCAGAAGAAATACAAGTTCTCATGTCACTTAGAGTGCTAAACTTGTCCCATAATAGCTTCTCCGGAAAAATCCCATCAGCACTTGACAACCTAAAAGACCTTGAGTCCTTGGATCTCTCACAGAACAAGCTCTCTAGGGAGATTCCTCCACAGCTTGCAAGTCTAACTTTCTTGGCAGCTCTAGATTTGTCTTACAATCAACTTGAAGGGAGCATACCACAAAGCAACCAATTCAGTACATTTACAAATGATTCTTACCAGGGGAACCCAAAATTATGTGGGCCACCATTGTCAAGGAAATGCAACCTAATTCAGGGGAAGATGAAGAAGATTCATGGTTGGATGCTATGTCTGGTTGGCAAATTGCTTTGGTAGGCTATGGTAGTGGTTTGTTCGTTGGTATATGTGTTGGATATACAACGCTGAATGAGTTGGGGAACAAATGGGTGTACAAGTTCAGAATGTATGGAAAAGAAATAGAAGAAGAACAAGGTGGCTCTCCATCAGAATCCATGTTTTAAAATCATCAGGTGCATTAATTGAAAGATAGTTGTTGTAAAGTACAATGCATGTACATTTTCTTTTGAATTCAGGTCCCTGACCCTTTTTTTCTTGCAGGGTGGAATCTGCAATATGAAATTGTGATAACTTTCAAGTTATTGTGAATGATGTTGAAATGATCATTGATGGGAGAATACATCTCCGAAGCAAGTTGAAATCCTCTTCAAGCCGGCTCATGCTGCTGATACAGACTCACATAACAATGATAAACGGATTAGGAATTGCCGGTTGGGGAGATGGGGGAACTGAAACAGATGCAGCAATGTTAAACAGGTATTTCGGCCCCTTCTCCCTTATTCCCAAGAATTTCTGTGAAGTTGAAAGCTTATTTACTTTTGTTTCTAATGCTTTATTTTGCAGTTACTTTCAATGTTCATATGGGATAGGGTTTGGCTGAATTCATCTGAGGATCATATAACATTGCAGTACCTTAACTGGTAAACGTGATGAGCAGTAAGTGTCTTGGCTTATGTTTGAGAAGTTACATCATCGGTAGTTTGACTTATGTTTAGTAATCCGAATGACAAGATCGTTTCCGTCTTCCTCTCGGTTTCGTTTGCAAGGGCCAAACTCCCTAGTGTCCTGGCTGCCAAACTCAAGAATCAAGATCATAATGGTACATACAGGTGACATGTTTTTGGTACTGTATATGTTTGTATCTGAGATCGTTGACGGTAGGCAACAACTTCAACCATTGGAGCCGTAAGGTGCGCACATATAATCTAGTATTACCATTGGTGATAAGATTTTCAAGTCTTCGGGTTTTTTACATGTCTTATTTAAATTCTGCAGATGACAATCTCAGTGAAAAAATTTAAGGAGTGGAACTGGATTCTTCACAGATTGCCTGGACTTAAAACCGACTTCTTAATTTCTCGACCATCGTTTTCAGAGATGTCCATCGGTGTAACACTGAGGAGGTGGGGACCCTAACAGTCTGGTCTTGGCTGGCCAAGCAAGGGTTGGAGGATTAATTCAAAACAAAAGCCCTGTACTTGCTGTGACAGAAAATGGTGAAACACGATGGCAATCACATGTTCCGGAAATCCAGGTATGTTTAACATGCATATCAACTTGTTGGATTAATCATATCAATGGCGATCAATGAACATTGTTACGTTCTTTACAGGGGAATCGTCTGAGAGGGAGACTGCGGATGATCCGGTTGAGCTTAGACGGGAAAGCGAGACTATACATGAAGAGCCTGCTATTCAGCGCATGGAATCGACAATTCTATCTGGAACTTGAGAAGAAAAGTTCCCACATGCTGCGTATCAAGAGGATAACTTCCTAGAGAAAGAAGTGATGGCAATATAGGTCGGTCGGGGCATAGGGTTTAACAGACAACCCTTATAACACATACAAATAAGAAACAAATAATCTTAGACTAAACCATGTGAGACTATTGATGCATTGAATGAAATAGGGTTAGGATTGAGAGAAGCCATGGATTTACCTTGAAGTTTGATCATCAGAAAAGGACAGCTCAGATTTAAATGTAAATCAGCATTTTCCTTCGTTTTCCACTCAAGAGTCGAATTATTCAACAGAAAAGGTAAAACAAATAGTGGAGAAAACTTACATTTTAGACAATTATTGGGGAATTTCACTTTAACCATGAAAAGTGAAACAGCTGATTCAAGCATAGAACATCTTGAAAACCCAGATTTTGCAAGTAAATACTCAGTTTATCCCCCCCCCAATCTAATCTAACAAGCAAGCCTCAAATGTACTGGAGATTGAAGTTAAAAAACATGCATTTATACGTAGAAGTTTCAAGGTAGTTTATCTCTAAAATATACAATAATAACCCAAAAATGTCAACATAAACAGCTCAAGAAACCCATTTGTCACTTGCAGAAAGCTGTCACATTTACAAAAAAAATAATCAAATTTGGGTCTTTTTTCTAATGTTCTAAGTTCCAACACCTTGGATCCCTCTAGCACATCTTGTAATAATCTCACAACCCCTACTATAAGGATGAGCTTGACCAGCATGACAGTCATAATAAGAAGCACCAGGCTTCTCACAAGGGACCATGTCCCTCCTCAGTGTCTCATAACTAATGTACCTTCTCTGCATCAAAAGCAGCCTCCTTTGGCTCTCGGACTCCATTTCTTCCTCTCCAAGGCAATCTTCAAGCTTTTTGGTGCAAACCCTTTTTACCATGGCATCAACTTCACTGGATTTCAGTGCATCTTGGAGCTCTTGAACTGAGACTGCATCATAAGTATGGAGGCAAATGAGGGATAGAAAAAGAGTAGTGAATATGAGTTTGGGAAGGGCCATTTTTAGGGATTTTTGGGGATTGGACGAGTTAGGTTGGAGTTTAGGGGTCTTTCATGGGGTATTGAAAGTAAAGACAGTTTAGGGTAGATGAAGGGGTGTGATAAATGAGGAGAAGACATTGAAACAGAACAAGCTTTCCTTATGTTTATGTTCCCTCCCAAATTATCCCACTATGCTTTGAAATAAAGGGATATTTTTGTAACCAAAACATAAAATTTTTTATTGGTAAACTACGAATTTAGTATTTAAATGATTAGTTTTAATATATTTGAGTATCCAAACTTTTTTTTTTCAAACTATACTTAATATTTAGTTTTTATTTCATTTTAGTATCCTATTAAAAATTTAACTCATTTAGTACCTAAATTTTTAATTTTTTTAAAACATAGCATCAAATTTTGAACATAAATACTAAAATAAAATAAAAATTAAACTTTAGGAATGATTTTGAAAAATTTAAAATTTAAGTACTAAAACAAACCAAAACTGATAGTTTAAGTACTTAACACTTAATTTACCAATTTTTCATTTATCCGATCAAACAAAATTAGAACTTATCAAATACAAAAAAAAATAGTATCTTTAAATATATTTGACTGAAATTTATTTAATTAATTAAATGTTTCAAAATAAATTCGTTGATTATAATTATAAATGATAAATTCATCTTTGAAATTAGAAAATGAGTTTTATTTCTTTCTTTCTTAATTTCATGTAAATTAATGGGGAAAATATATTTTTAAAACTCAAAATATGCATTTTATTATTTATTTTAAAAAATATATATATATGACACTTTGTGATTTATTTCAAGAATAAATATTGGTAATTTTTATTTGGGATGGTGCTCAATTTGCCAGTTGAATTAGGTCAACACCTTTAATTTTGGGAGTGCTTGGCAGTTGGCTTATAAGTAGCATAATAATTGCAGGTGCCACATATATAATATAAATTAATAATATAATATTATTTCTCATTTTAATGAACTTAGCTAAGAAATTATTTTCATTTTTTTATTAAATTATTGATTAATTCATCATGGAATTGAAGTGGTGCAGTTACAAGACTCCTCCTCCCAATTTAATGCTATCTTAAAGTCCAATACAAAAAATATATAGTAACCTAATACAATAATTTAATAAACCTTAATCAATATTTAAAATAGTAACGCCAAAAAAACTTAAGAGAAACTACAATGCTTTATTCAAAAATTTCAAAGTAGTTAAATGAAGGGTAAAGAACGCAAATGGTCCCTGATTATAGGGTATTACTTTATTAAGTCTATCAACTATTAAAAGTTAGACTATAGAGTGTTGTTTTGTTGAGTTCATCGACTATTAAATTTATAAAATAATCACTCAATTATTCATTATGCTCAAAACTCATCATTTTTCGTTAAAAAATAGACAATATTTTGAGTTGAACGTCAGCTTGTTGACTGTGATATGATAAAATGTGATCTCAAAGTCTCAAATGATTATCAAATCCCAGTCATCATGTTAACATCTAGCTTAAACAACCACCAATTCTTTAATGAAAAAGGATGAGTCTGAAACATAATGAATAGTTGAGTGACAATTTTGTAACTTTTAATAGTTGAAGAACTCAAGAAAACAACACTCTATAATCAAAGGACTATTTATAATCAAATGACCATTTGTAACAGTGGAGAGACTATTTGCCTTTTTTTACAAGAACCCTTAAATAAAATTTGATTAGACCAAATCTATAAGTACCTCTAAATTGTTATCTATAAGACAAAAATAATTTTTCATGACATTAATGACATTTTTTACATCATCAAGAATTAGCAATGTGGGATTTAAATAGGGCTCAACATTCTCAATAAATAAAAGTATATAACCAAAATGAACCTCTCGATATCCATTGATTAATGGGACTTGTGAGGGCAAACCCCATTGATGAAGAATGCTTGACGTCCGAGACAGACAGAAGATCTTAAATCACGCATGACATTCACTACACAAACTAATGAACAATCTATGAAACAATAGGCCGAAATGAACAAAACGATGTCATAACTCAACACCGATGTTAGAAAATAACATTACCAAGATGTATTGGATAAGTTGTTAGATGAACATCAGAAGACAGAAACAACAATTCTGTTTCAGTTTGCAAAAAAGGAAAGTTATAGGCACTGAAAACACTTAAGAGTGGACTACAGTTTTGATATAGGGGGAAAAAGCAGTTTAGGTCGTTTTCGCAGATAAACAAAGTCACTTAGTTACTGAAACCTTAAAAACTAGAAAGTAGAGCTACATAACTTCCTATTTTACAACTGAAAAAAGGTTGCCACCACTCGAATTTGAGAACTTATAGTAACATGACACTAACAAATGGAATTCAACATGATTATTCAAGCTAATTTGGGCAGTTGTATATAAAATTGTATCCTATAAATGAAGTAACTATACATATCACAAAGAGAAAAAAAGGAATGAAAGATACCTTTGTAGACTTCTCACCAGTCACCAGGAAAGACAACTTTTCTACTCATAGACTAAGCTGCTCAATGTTCTTCAGATTCCTGGCTAGTCCATGGGTTGACCTTTTGTCTTCTTGCTCTTCATACGGATTTGCTCGATAATTTGAGCTGGCCTCTTCATTGTCAGAGGAACCTGGTCTTTCAGTGAGGAACTGTTCCCAAAATACATCATTCACTCTAACCGGAGGAGCTGCAGGCTCTTGATTTCTGTTAGAGCCTTCTTTTGACAAAGACAATGTTGTTTCCCGATCAATCATGTTTCTGCTGTTCTCGAAAGCTCTGGGAGTGGGATCAGTGTCCTTACTGTTGGCGTTGGACCTTGACTCTGGGACTTTTCCGACTTCCCAATTTAGTTGTGACATCCTTGTTAAGCTAGGACTTTTATTGACTAGCAATGACGAAGATGCTAGAGTTAGATTCAATTGACAGGAAATATTACTATCAGGTTCTTCATTGGAACTTAATCTCTGTTGCAGCGAATGCACTGTTGGGCTTTCATTTGTTGATACTCTTTTAGTGAAAGACGAATCCATGTTGAATGTAAAAGATGTGCCCGTATCTGAAAGGTCTAATGTTTCGGGAGTGAATGAAATGCCCTCGGGCCTGATATTAACATCATTTGGTTCTCCTTGAGATCTCCTTCTCGTCAGACTTTCTCCATCTTCGTTAGAACTCTGTGTGCTCTGAGAAACCAAATTAATATCCGAAACAGTTGATGATAGTTCTAGTCTTAGCTTGTTCGAGAAATCGAGGTGGACAAAATTTCCAAACTCAGGTGTAGAACTGCTTTTGTTGTCCAAAAGACTATGTTGTCCAACTGGCTTGGTTCGATCATTTTCAGGCAGTCTTCTTTTCTTATTATATGCAGCAAAATCATCCATAGATTCAATCTTACGAGTAAGGTGTTCGACAAAAGAAGGGTCTTGTAAAGCCTTTTCTAAGAAGTTAAACAAAGTCTCCTGCCTCTGCTCCATTTGATCAACCTGCAGTGTCAGCTCTTCCACCTGTTGCTTCAAAGTCGATCGCTCTTGTCTGGACTTCAAAACGTCAGCCTCCAATGCAGCTTTTTCCCGTAAAAGCTTTTCGATTTCTTCTTCGTATCCAACTCTTTCTGGATCTATCAAAGAACCTGGTGGATTACTATGGCTGTGAATAGGCTTTCTGCGGTGAATGTTCTTAAGAAGATGCCTTTGATCTTTCACAAAATCTTCATTGGCGAATTCCCACTTTTCAGGATCAATCTTTCGGAACCCCTGTCACCGAATTAAATTCATATGCACCCAGATCAAGCTTAGGCACTCAATTATCATACATCTAAACTAAGCAAACTATAATTAATAGAAAACTATTTAGTTCTCCTTTCAACCGCCCCATTCATCGAAGATAAACACACAAACAATACGGTATCAAGACTAAATACCCTCAAATTACAAAAACAAGCGGAAATTAAGTATATTTTGGTTGAGGAATGCACAAAAAAGACAAATGAAATGTCAAACAACTACGCTGAAGATTCTTAAACTCCATGGTTCTTTGACTAAGAAAACACCTCAATTCTAATATATTTTACGTTATGAATCACAGCAGAAGGCATTGATAGAATGAAATCGAAGTTGTTTACTCATCAGAAATGAACAAAAAAATGGATAAATTTCCCATTCCCAAGGAACAATCATATACAACTAAAATCACTCCAAATCTTTGCAAAATGAAGTTAAATGCTAAAAAAAACACATAATTTCGCCCAATTACCACAGAATTCAATAATTAGAGAAAAAACCCAGAAAAAAAAAGAAACCCACGTAGGTATTAAGCTGCCTGATGAAGCTGGAGAAGTTATTGTGCTTGAAATAGGTGGGAAGTAAAAGGCGGGCAAATTCAGGAGGGTTCCAAACCACAAAGCTCTTTTTGTTGGAGCTCCACGAAACGATGCCGTCCGTCGAGGAATCGTCCACCATGTCGTATGTCTTTACAAGGAAAGGTGCAGGTCCTCCTCCGCCACCAGCGCCGCCGACGGCAGATGCGGAGGGTGCAGCAGAGTCCATTTATCGAATTTCCACGCTTTTGTTTGGTGAAGAAGGGAGCTTTAAGGGAAGAGTCGTCGAGTTGCCTAACGGAGAAATTTGACAATTTTGACTTTTCACTATAAAGAACATAATAGGGTAAAATACACAAATGGTACTCGAATTATAGGATGATACTTTTTTGAGTCCTTTAATTATTAAAATTTATAAAATAGTTTCTAAATTATAGACCGTTGCTTTATTGAGTTATTTAACTATTAGAAGTTACGAAATGGTCACCTAACTATTCATATGTTTCAAACTCGTTCTTTTTGTTAAAAATTAGATGGTAGTATGAGTTCGACACCTGTTTACTGAGATATGATAAAATCTAATCTTAAGATCTTAAACAACTATACAACTTAAACTATTCTGAGATCAAATTTTATTAGATCTCAATCAACATGTTAATATCCAGGGAGAATAACGCTCCCTTTAACCACTGAGACCACTAAACAAATTCAATATGTTAAATTTGACTACTAACTTAATAAACTGATTATGTGATA